GTGGGGCTGGCTGTCTGTCGATTGGCGAAGTAGCGGCTAGACGCGTTCTGGTTGGTCGAGGCGTCACAGACAGTCCGCGTGGAGCAGTTCCTTTACGAAGCGAGCGGACGATAGCGGCAATCAAGTAGGAAACTGCTTGGGACTGTGTGCTGCGCGATATTCACATAGGGGCACCCCCTTGCCACACGCATAGGATCGTACTCGCTACACACGGATACTCGGACACAATCGCATTGGTTGAGCGTGTATGTACTCTATCCATACTCGCTATCTCTCTCTCTCTCTCTCTTTTACGCTCTCTTTCCCTCTTTCTCCGTTGCTCTCACTTTATAGAGGCACGTTGTAGGGGTTGGGAAAACGGGTGGAGGCGCCATATTTGTGGTGGTGTGGGAAGTGAGGGAAATCACGAGTGGCGAGAGAGGCAGCCAGTCGGCGGCCAGTTGAGAGAGCACGGGAAAAGAGAGAAGGGCGGGAGAAAGAGAGAAGGGGGAAGAGAAAGAGAGAGAAAGAGAGAGTTTATGCGGACATCCGTGTCAGCCTGGTGACGGCCATTTTGCGAAAAACTTTCGATTTGTTTGCACACGCTGAGTGAACTGAGAGAAGCAACTAATACCTACGCGTATGCATGGCACGCCGTGTACCGCGCCCTGTCCTCTCGTTTATTCGACCGTATCTGCGGGACCGAAAACTTTCGAGGCTTCCAGTCTTCGTGCTTCAACTTGCAAAAATCGTCGGACCCGTACACCAACAGAATACACGATTCGAGTATACGATATCGCCCACGGGCTAACGATGTATCTTTCTCAATTGTATCTGTTAGACCGAAGCACCGGTCGGTAAAGATAATGGAGGAGCAGAAACAGCAGCAGCAGCAGCAGCAGCAGTAATACGAAAAAAGTATTCCGAGAATTGTGCGTTCCCTTAGTCATTGCGTTCATGAGATTGATACTCTGAATTGTCTAGATTCCAAAGGTGGTTGAATGATGTAGTCGACAAATATTATTTGCACACACTCGTTAACTGCGGTATCAGCGATAATAGCATTGGTGGAATGGAAAAAAACGAACGTAATCAACATTGATAAATGAGCACGTTGAATCATCTTTCATTAATACAGAAATAGTAGACGCTGGCATAAAATTTCACAACGTCGACATAATGTGAAAAAAATGCTGTCATTAAAATAATTCATAGATAGAGAGATAGAGCGAGAAAACTTTAAAGAGAAGCAAAAGAGAGAGAGAATCGAGAGGGACAGAACAAACATATCACGTTGTCATGTACATAATAGAATCGATGTATATTGTTCGATTGCTCCGTGCTTAACGCGAATATAACTGTTCATTTGAAACCCGATTAATTACGGTCAACTAAAACGGCCCTAAAGCTATAGTCAGATCACTCATCGCGTCAGCAGTGCGCCGAAATCACGATGGACGTATCTGTGCCTCGTCGTTGGCCGATAAAACAGATTAAGTATACGATAGAGACGACAGGTGCTATGAAATAGAGAGTGCCAGAAAACAAAAAGCGAGAAAGAGAGAAGAGAAAAAGAGAGAGAAAGAGAGAGAAAGAAGGAGGACGTACCGACGTTTTAACGAGCCGTGATTTTCGTGCTCGCCTTTTCGAGACCCTTACGTAACGCGACTTAATTGTGAAGGAGCTATCGCGCCGGTTAATACGAGCGTCGAGAACGAGGAGAGACATTCGAGGGGGTGCTTGGCGGGTTTAACTGTGGAGTAACGGCCTGCCAGAGTGGGGGAAGGGAAAGATTGCTTCGGAGGGGATACCATCCCCACCACTTACTCGTCCATCAGTCGCTCTGAGGCCGTTGTGGAGAGAGGATTGTTCTTGTTGCGTCTGTGCGTTTAATGTTTCGTGTTTGCTTTCACGTTGCGTACGTCAGTTTCGTTCAATTTTCTTTTTGTTCTTTCGGCTTTTTAATTGCCAAACGTGCTGTATCGGTGTCAAAAAGTTTTTCTCGCGTATTAACGGAAAGACGTGTGCGTGCTAGTGTTGGTAAACTTAACCTCAAAGTGGCGGCGAGTTACTGTTTAGGTCGTAAACAACCGAGTGCAGTGTCTTTGTGTGATGGTGTTTCCACATTGAGGATGTGAAATCGTGGATAAGAAGAAAGGAAAAATAGTTTCTCTTCTTTCGTTTAATCCGATGGAAGAAGAAGCTTTCTCCGATTATTCTTAACGCGTTTCTCGCTCTGTTTTACCGACCGTATAAAGGGCACGCCACGCTCTCCGTGCGGGATTCTTCGTGGCGTCGGCGACACGTTTAACCTCGATGAACGTAGAAGGCGGTCGAAATAAATGGTGACACGAGTAGTTATCATTCAATATCGTGAAGTTACAAATTACGGATGAGAATGCGGTAGTGGTGGATGGCAAATGCACCGATGGATCATCGTCGTGTATCCGAGGCGGGGACCTTCTTAATTGAATCATATCGACAGAACCGCGAACAGAATCGTCCTAAAGGTCGCTTGTCCTCGTAGCCCACGCGGGCGATTTGAATCGTGGTGTTTTTAGTTTATCGTTGTTGTTGTTATTTGTTATCATTGGTGTTCCGCGTGACATGAAGCATACGTGATCCGAGGACACGGTGTTTGTATTTTTTACTGTTTTGAAACCAGAGAAAAAAAATGTATCCTAGTGCTGGAATCAACGCTGCTGCTGTAGCTGCTGCCGCTGCTGCCAGGCATCCGGTGAGTAATTTATTCTTTTCCAACTTTGTATATCCTTCTTATTTCGTTGATTTCTTAAATTTTTCTTAAATTTTTCATTTTTTTTATCGCGTTCTATGTTATTGAACATTATAAAATTTCACAAATGGAGTAACGTGCTAGATTATCGTAGTTCGTTGTCGTTATAATTTCTCGAAAACGTTCCCAAGGCGCGATTTTCGATGCGTTACGCCTTTATTATACGCGGTCTGAACGATATGTACCTCGTAAGGCGAACTCGTGCTACTTGAAACTCGAGTTTCACGTGTACGGCGTTGCGCGTACTGCGCGCGATTCCGATCACGTTCAACGGCGTAGAAACCAGTGTAACACCTTTCGACGATCGTCGTCGATCCGATTACTAATTCTAACCATTCGAATTTTTACAAACGCGTACCAGCCAATTATGGAACGAGACCCGTTGCTACACCCATATTATACGATTAACTCGCGTCAAAACATTTTCCTGAACGAAATGGAAAGAGCAATCTTGGTCGAACACTCGGTGATAATACCGATCCGAACCGTGGTTTCTTCGCGCGCCTCATTCGTCGCCGTTGATGCGGTCACGTGCGTCCCGGTATACACATTTATCATGGTTCCGCGCGTACGTTACATGTATATGCTGTATACGTGTCAGATACACGTGCCTTTGGGAGTGCGCGCATACATATACGTGTATAACCTCCCCGACTCGTTTCGAGATTTCGAGATATCGGTCCGCGGTAAGATCGTGTTTGCGCGCGCGGCCGCAAACCCTGTCACGAATTCGAGGTTAACCGTGGACCGTGTAAAAACCGTTTCGATAGGCTGTGCAGCCTTATTGATCCGTGAATCGAAGACGATGATCCATGAATCGATTACTATACGCGAGAATATTTTTTTTCTCTTCCGTTATAAATTTCTAACATCTGGCCTCTTTAATATCCGTTATGATTAAACCGTCTCGCTTTTCGTACGTAACCGCAACGATGCACAAGATTGGTTGAGATTGTGTACATTCGCCGCGTGTGTACATTCGCATCGTGGAAGCATAGTTTCACGGTGAGTTTAGTCACTGAAATTCTTGCCGGTCGATGAACAGGATGTTATAAACGGTTGGAAGAGGATGGAAAGCCGAAAACAGCGTGACGAAAATGTACGCGATATATTTATTGCATTTATTCCGACGATGACGATGATCCACCGGCGTGTGGACGTCATCGTTCAACGCGATTAAACGCGCAGGCATGCGTGTTAGGCAGCACCGGCGGACACGATATTTTCGCGTTTAGGGTTGACGCAGGAGACGTAACAGCAACGTGTGCTCGGCCAGGGAAAAATTACATCATTCACCGTTGCCATTATATCTGCCCTCGTCCCCGATAATCATAATAATTAGAGGCGAAAGCAAAAAATCAGCCATTACTTTGTATTATAACGGTGTGTTGTCGGATGGAAAGGGAGACCCTCTTGGATAGAATAATGAAAGCTTCATCTGGCCCATCCCTAATAACAGGCGTTACACCGGATGCGGCCCGGCGATATTGTAGCACGTGGGGAGGGGGAAAGGAAGGCGAGAAATGCGGCGGATAGACAGAGATGGAGCGGAGCGAGAACGAACAAAGAGGGGAAAAAAGGAGGGGGAGGAGGGAGAGAGAAAACAGCTCCGGTAAAAAAGAGTCGAGGCTGTCCCTCGAAAGGCGGTGACAATGTTGTGGAAAAAAGGTGGCTCTGTGTCGAGTGCCGTTAAGAAGCGAAGGGGGGAGTTGGATAGAAAAGGTTGAAAGACATAGTTGCCTCTTCCACACGCAAGAAAAAAGGGGAGTCGAGGATTGGTGATGAAACACTCGCGCATTACACACTGTATTATAGGTGAACATAACCTTCTGTAAACCGTGGTACGCGCTCGCGACAGGCCCTGATTCGGTAAATATTGATGCGTTTAATCGGCCCGTTTGCCTCGACGCTTCTGTAAACGCGGTTCAGTGCGTGCACAGCTGAAAAAACTTTTGAAAACTCGATGAAATCGAATACGCGATATCATCGAATGTTTTCTCTTTTTTCTCTCTCTGTCTCTCTTTTTTCTTTCTCTCTCTCTTTTTTTATCATTTATTTTTATTTCGCTTCTTTCGTTTTTTTTTTCTCCTCCTTCTTTTTATCGTATATACGAAAAATATACATGCAAACTACATGCTCGAATTTCACGAAGCAAACAAAGACATTCGAGTCGGACGAGAGTGGGAGAAGGGAAAACGTTTTGTAAGCAGCGTGGAATGATAATCAGGCCGATTTTAAGCTTCGAAGCCGTTCGACGCCACGCTGCACATGGTAATGCGTTGTTCGAGGCATGCCGTTGCGGGACATGCGAGCCGAGGCGAATCGAGTTGCGCTGTCGGCACGGAAATATGGAATCACAGTGATATCTTGAGCGTCACGTCGTCCATTATGCTGATGCGCCCGGTAAATTTCACGCATTATACTCCCATTATACGTTTCCTGGCCGAGTGGAATCGCGATCTCGCGGTAATTACACGCTGCTGCTTCTTGTTTACCACGGTGAAAGAGGAAGGGAGGGGAGAAGGGAGATAGGGGAAGGAACCGATTGTTTTAATTTCCACGTTTTGCTTCGTTCCACGGCCTGGCATTATTACTCTTATATTTTTTTTTAAATTTGTTTCTTTATATTCTCTCTCTCTCTCTCTCTCTCTCTCGTCGGCCTCGTTTTTTTTACGCGTACCCTATACTCGATTGTACAAGCCCGATTGAAACGTTGACTCCGGCTACACATCTGTGCGTTTGCCCGTTGATACAATTACACGAGCTGAACGAACGCGACGACCGGAAAAATCGTTTCGCGCGACCTACTGTATCGGCGAAAGACCGGCCGACCAAACTCCATGTAGTACGGCCAAATTGTATCCTCCTATAACAGTTTATTCGGCACCTGGGACGCGCGTATTGGCTTTTCCCCGTATTGCTTCGCATGCCTATGCGACGCGACATATTGTCTGTCCCATTGTCGACTCTCTGAACCGACGCCCTCGAGATTCACTTACGTCTGTCGCTCTCGTTGTTACCAATGTACCACGGAACCCGTGATGGTGTACGTGACGGCTGTAAAAAATCTTGTCGATAAAA